AAACCTGCAGCTCAATAAATCAAAAATATAATCAAAACATAATTTCTGTAAAAACAAAAATAAAATTTTTTATTAAAAATGCAGTCATTAAACCTGCAGATCAACAAGGTTTTTGGAGACATGCTCACTTTCTACACATTCATCTTTCAGTCCCAAGTTATGATGCAGGAATGTTCACCTTTCCCGGATTAAGTTTGGAGTTATGGTTTGGAGCGGTGAGGTACGAGGATGTGTGCGCATACACACGTAAGGAAAGAGAGAACGCGAGTGTCTCACACACACACTACGGAGCCACTAAAGGGACATGGTTAGCCGCTTGCTAGCGGTAGCCTGTTACATTACAGTACATAGCATTTCACTTACCACATAAACAGAGTAAGGAGAGATGACTAGGATTGATGGCGAATGATTTGCAGATCCTGAGCACCACTGACAAACACCTGATCTTGTCAAATGTGTGGTAAGTACTGCCGAGTGCTGCTCCGTACGTGTGATTGCGAATCTCGAATATTATTCGAATAATACCCAGTGATTTTCGAATATGTAATTTTTGCTTGGAATGCCCATCCCTATTACAAACACTACATTTCTCCAAACCTGATGACGAAACAAAGTCTGAACTTTTCCTTTAAATCTCCCTGTTGAAGACGCCTGGTCTAAAGGTTAATCTAGATTATCTGACGTGCCCTAAATGAACTGTGTAAACGTGTATCACATTACAAGAACACAACAGATTTCAACAGTCAAAAACTCACATCAAAAACACAAACAGTAAATTACAATGATTTAGATTGTAATGATTGCAATGATTGACTTATCTTGGTCTGGTCTGGTTAAACCCAGCAGCAAGCTTCAGTTTGGACTGTGATTCTGGGATCAACTTTTTATTTTGGTGTGTAGAGTTGAGATTAAGGTCAGACTCACATTAGTGTGGCAGAAATCAAAGCACATGATTATAACATCTGAATGGACAAAGAGCAAATAATAAATGATCCCATAACAATCTGACATTTAAAAACTGACCCAACCTGAAGCTAATCTGACAAGAAGCTTTGTGTGTGTGCCGGCTGGGAGACACTTAAGCTAATTAATGGCTAATCAGAGCTAATCTTCCATTAGGCAGATGAAGCGGGACACATGAGTTGGGGGTATAATCTGGATTTTTTAATGCACAGGCTTATTGAATTAAAACGTTTATATACTAGAAGCTAAAGCACTTGACTTCCTGAATTCCCCCTTCGTTAAATTGCATTACAGGCCTGTAATTAACTGTAATGTTCAGGCCATTAACGAAGCGCAGAGAGCCAATTATGCAGATTACAAAATATCAAAGCAAGCATTATTTATTGCAAAAAAAAAAGATACACGCAAAGCATCTGACAGCTAGCGTGAAATTATAGAGGAACCACCTCAATATTTACTATCTATACAATGCAAAAAAAAATGGAATTGTAAATAAAACAAAAATTATTAGAGTATGCCTTACAAGAAAATACTATTTCATGTTAATTCAGTTTGTTACTTGCCATTTCTAATTTTTTTGTGAAATTTGCAAGCAATTTCTGAGTGAAAACCGTCTCAACAGAACTGTAATTCATAGCTGTTTAAATGTGGAAAGTGTTTCCAGCCGCTAAACACAGTCACAACCAGATCAAAACAACCAAAAACACCACATTTAAGAGCACCAAGACAAAGCCAAAGCGGCAGGACTGATGAACACACAGAGATAAGAAAACATTTTTACAAAAGACATGACTGCAATAACAACAGATAAAGAGCTAGCATTTAGTGCCTATTTTACACATTTTTCCCCATTTTATTATGTTCCTGCAGCTGTGATTTAGCAGTGCACATCTTGACACTCAATTCTTGCCCATTCTTCTTGGCAGAATTTCTATCAAGTTGGATGGGAACATTTGCCAAACGAGCGTTTCTGAGCTCCTCTACAGATGCTCTGGATGGCCCTCAGATTTTTTAACTTTGGCAAATTTTTCTTTATATAGAAATGATATGGCAAGGAAATAATGCGAAATGTTATGAATAACGAAAACAGCGGCGAGTTCAAACAGACAATAGAAATGAATGAACGTACCTAAAACAGTTTTCGTAAGAAATCATATGGTTTTATTGAACAAAACTGTTAAAATACATAATGTATTATAAACAATAGAGCTACAAAGGCCTGCAGGGGGCGCCAACAGCCTGATGATTATTTTTTACACATTACTGTGCGATCTAATACTCGTTTAATATTGACCAAGCACCATTTAATTCAAATGTCCACTTAATCTTTAATATTTGGCCATTTTGACGCAACAAAATGAAGTCGAGGATTTTTTTAAATCGAATAGTCGAATAAAATCGACAAATCACGACAGCCCTACTCTAGTGTTTCCTGCACCTCAAAACACAAGACAACTGACTGCTGCCTAGTCAGCCAATTACTGAACAGAGCAGACTTACGGTGGTTTCATGTGATGGAATGCTACATTTCTCCAAATCTGATGAAGAAACAAACCTATCTACAGCTTGTTGTACACTTCCAGCACATTTCAATTTTGGGTGGAATATTCCTTTAAGAAGTGAAAAAAAATGTATCTGTAACGGTTCTCACACTCTCAGTAAAAATACTCGGCACCTTTGACATAAAGCAGCCGCTTGCTTCCTGTCCAGAGCCCAGAACTGTCTCTGCTGTTTCCTTCTCTTTTAACTTGCACTGGCACTCTTGGACCCAAAGATATCCAGCGAGCGTCCAGTGGTAGTTACTCTACACTATAAACACAGTCTTAAGGCCACTCACACCAGACATGCTCTTGCTGTCGGTCAACGCTATGTTTTAACTGTTGGTCTGTGTATAAGCGGCCGTTCACACAGAACGTGTTTTTGCATTCCACTGCGCAGTTTTCTCATTGTGTTTTCTATGTAAACATGCACTAGATTGATGTTTTTGACTGCTGAGTTCGGGTCACGCAACTGTTGCAAAGTCTTGTGCACGATAAAATAACTCAAGCAGTGCATTAAGAAGTTCATTCCATTCCATTGCCCTGCATCTTGTGTTTTTGAATGCAAAAACATATTTTTTACAGAACGTGTTTTTCCACTTTGCTGCTTTTTTAACGTAAATATGCACTACATGTTTGGTGCTCACATCTTGCATCTTTTGCAGCTTCTCACGCATGACAAAAATGCAACGCTTGAGTTAAATGTAGTTCAACTTTTAAAAACGCATCTCTAGATCATGTTTTTTTTCATTCACTGCCCACATCTCGTGTTTTTAAACATGTTTGGTATATGAAGTGCTGTATTTTTAAGACGCTTTGCAAATTTTTGTAAATGCATTGTCTAAATGAAGAGTTAATACTAGCGGTCGACCGATGTATCGGTTTTGCCGATTAATCGGCACCAATAGTTTTTAGCTGGAACTATCATTATCGGCAAAAATCCATGCCGATATTTTTCCAGGTTGCGTCTGTTGCTGGAACGGCTGAGAAGGGTCTGCTGTCATTATACAGTACGAGAGCGGCCTCTAGTGGTTGAAATCACTGACAGCAGGTGCTATTTGTTTAGACACGTGATACTGCACGCTGAACAGAGCGGGAAACTTCAGACGCGGATTTAAATGCAGCCGACAGAAAATCCTGCCGCGCCACAGA